ACTAAAAACTATTTACTGGAGTAGCAAACAGAGCAAAGCATTTTTGGTACAATCCATTTCTTGGAGAGTCACTTGAAAATACACTTTCAATATTCAACAGAGATGGTGATTGAAGCCACCATCTGCACCTTTATAGATACAGAAGATTTAAAAAACTTTCCGTTTAGATTGAATAGTTCTAGAACAATTTGTTTCGGAAAATGACCTCTGTTTGGGAAAGTATCCTATTCAAGTTGAGTTATTAGGTTATAATTTGTTATAGGTGTAAAATGTCTGTGCTTTCCCTAATGTTCTTTAAAATATGTTTTTCTCTTTTAGAATGAATTCTGGAATATATACAAAGGTGAGATGTTTTCTATTTTAACCTTAAGTGAGAGGGGTTCATTAGGATATTTAAGTTGGGAGAAATTGTGTTTGAACATTGAAAATGCTTCCTGAATTGCCTTTCTGTTCCTCTTTAAATCCTATGTATTTAACTTGTTCTGTCTGAGCATTTTCATAAGTTATTGTAAAATACTTTTTTATAGTAACTTTACACTAATCCTAATGTTGCCACTTACATATAGATTTAAATCAGTATGTTCTCATTTGAGAATACCAAATTTAGTGATAATTTTAAAAATCCAAGAATTATTAGGAAAAAAATAGAGTCTGAAAGATTGGATCCTATAATAAGGTAAGCATCTTGAGTCAACCCTTATACCACCTGAAATGGCATTAATCCTGACTAATGTTTATCCTGGCAACACCACTCAAATTTCTCAAAATGACTATTGGACTTACCTCTAAATTAGATTGTACAAATGCATCAAGAAATGTGAAGTCCCATGTTGGTGCTGGGCAGTTGTCTCTGCGTTCTCATTTTACCCCCAGAGCCCATTTGGAAACAGAAACCCTAACATCTCTGTTGTTCAGTGTCAGACAATCACGTCTTCCCCCTTCCAGATGGTCCCAAATAGTCGCCATCCTAGAGCTCTTCACTCTAATGTAAAAATTCTGTCAAACATTTCAGCAAAAACTGGAAAGCTCAGTCAATGTTCCAGTAAGATAACAGCATCGCGTACAAAGAGCCACAAAAGGTGAGGATACAGTGAAGTTCAGTTAGGAGAAATTGTTTACAGGAAGAAGTCCACGTTCATTCGAGTTATCTGAAAAATGTGTGCCAAGATCAACACAGCAAAGTCATTCCCATGGTGATGGAAATTGCCTGCAAGCTTCAGTTTCCAAACCCTTTCTTTGCAGATGGTGACCAGTGTGAAAGCAATCCCTGCCTGAATCAGGGCAGGTGTAAGGACGGCCTCGGGGAATACACCTGCACTTGTCAGGAAGGATATGAAGGCAGAAACTGTGAATTACGTGAGTTCCTCTTCTTGGTAGGCCTTCAAGTCCGAGTTACCTGAAGAATCCAATGTGGGAAAGAGGGAAAAAGTCAAAATGTCCAAGGGAACAATCTCATGTCACTTCTGATGTCGAGTCTGTGCTCCATTATGAAGGGCCACTGTAGTCACAGAAAACAACAAAAATTAATGGCCCTATAATCCACTCAGTGTTGGAGTTCAGTGAAACACACAGTCACCTCTCCGTTCCTCTGAGAGAGGCTGTGGAACATTCATGAAGCATGTGGCCCACTAACATAGAAACGAGAATTGACTTCCTTCTTGGAGTAGAATGTATCCCTCATTGTTGTTACTTATATTCCTTGTGGTCCTGGGCAATGATTCTAAATCACCACACCTCACATTTATCAGTGCACATGCCAATACTAACTGTTTGGGATTGTCCAATTATAAAAATTTGAAACATTTAATTAATCTTACTTGAAAAAGTCACTAGGAGTTTTCCTAATATGCTGGTTAATTTTTAAATAAAAATTAGCTTTAATATTAAACCAGATTTCCCTAAAGAGAAAGATTTGCTTTTCTTTTTATTACTTAATTTATAATCTTTGGAATGTGCTCTTGAATTACATTACTTCAGAATTTTTTCTGACGGGAATATAAACTAGGCATCGTTTCATCCCAATCCAGAGCTGCCGCTCTTGCACACCTTTTGGTTCTGACCCCAGGGCCATGGTGAATGTTTTCTAAAGTTTCATTAACGCTGATCTTCACACTATAATTATTTTTCATCACAACCCAAATGCGGAGTGTAAACGGCCAGGGAAGCATCACTGATGTGAGTTTGGAGGTCGAGTTCAGTGCACACAGGAAGCAGGTGGATGATTCTGGCTCAGGCAGAGCTGCGGATCTGCGGTCCAGGGAGACTCGGGTCCAAACGGACACTGCGCCAAGAGCTTCCTGTGACCCGTGAGGTTATCCTGTGAGGTGGTACCGACTCCTCCACTTTACAAGTGAGGAAACCCAGGCCCGGAGGTGGAAATAACTTCCTCAAAACACAAGTGACAGAAGGGCCAGTTTGGCACTCAGGTTGGCCTGCCTCCAGGATGTGGACTGCCTGTTTTCTTTATTCTTCCTACCGCACTGGGGCCCAGACCTGTCTCTGAGACCCTTATTACACAGGGACTCTTCTAGCCTCAGAGTGGGTGGGCCTCTGGCTACTCCACCAGGCTCCTCTTGAGCCCTTGGCCCGGAACCCACCCTCCTGCAGGCAGCCCTTCCAAGCTGGTCAGGACCCATGTGCCTTCTTAGCACTGAACTTAAGACCCTTCCAGCCTCCAGGGCCCTCACTGGCCATGTTCAGATTATTTAAGGACCTCCTGGAAGGCTGGTGCCGGGGCCCAGCAGATACTCAGCTCTCACCCTAACTGTACGCCATGGTTTCCCCAGGCAGCCTGGGCAGTGAGAAGAGCACACGCACAGGCATGGTCCTGTCACCCCACCAGCTGCTCTGGGCAGCCCATCCTGTTTGCACCAGCTGATGTGCATGGGCCATGTGGCTCCCGCCATTTGTTCTAGCCAGGTGGCTGCTGTAGGGCTCACGGTGGGTGTATGTCCCCCTGGGGCTGCTGTCCTTCTTCCCAGCCAGCTGCAGCCTCAGTTTCCTCAGCCTGTCCTGAGAACCAACATGTGTCCCTTACAGCCATGCGAAAATTCTGCAGCCTGGCTGGAGAGTTGGAAAGAGGGGAGCCGAGGCCCCTCGAGAAATAATTTAGGCCCTAGCTGGTTTGGCTCAGTGAATAGAGTGTCAGCCTGTGGACCTGAAGCTCCCGGGTTCCATTCTGGTCAAGGGTACATACCTGTTTCAGGATCCTACCCAGCCCGGACCCTGATTGGGGCTCCTGCAGGAGGCAACCAATTGATGTGTTTCTCTCACATTGATGTTTCTCTCTGTCTTTCCCTCTGTCTTCCACTCTCCCTAAAAATCAATGAAAAAATATTCTCGGGTGAGGAATAACAACAAAAAAGAACTAATTTAGGTTGTGTGGGCCTCGATGTTAATCAAATTTATTTATTCTTTTCCTTGATAAAAGCCGGACACGATGAGTCTGGCCTAGAAGCTCAGGAGGACATGGCCTATTAAGGGGCTGAGTATGGGCCAGGCCCTGCGGTCTCGCACACTGTAGAAAGGTCCTCCTATGCTGCAGGGCCAACCTGGAGCCAGTGGTGCTGAGGCGCCACTCCTTTCTCTCAGTCTCACAGTGGCACCAACTTGTTTTTCAAACCTAGGTTCCCTGACTGACCCACAGCTTCAGCCTCAACTGGTTGAGGGGTGTCAATGAGGGTGAGGGTGTACAAATACAAAGTCCCAGGCCCACTCCACAAGACAGGAACATTCCAGAATGATTGCAATTAGATAACATCAACTCTCTCAACAAGTAAAAGACAGTATCATTTACATCTTTTGGTAATGAGATTTTTAAACTTATGCTGGCTCAACAATAGGGGGTAGACTGGAACATATACACAAATTTTTTTTAAATTCCAGGAATAATTACAAATTAATTTAATGAAGTGTGATATTTGAGGGGTGGGGGGATCAGGTAATCTACTTCCTAATTCAGTATTTCAAAATACAGTGATTACAGATATCAACACCACACTCTTTACCTCCAGCTAACACAGCACAAGTCTGCTTGGGGTGGGGAGGGGTCCTTCAGATCCTGCTGGAGCCCTCGCAAACACTAAAAAGAACTACGTTCTGCTTATCTGATTTTACGCAAACCCACTGAAGCAGAGAGGAGCCATCTGTTTTTTTTTTCTTTTTTAAATAAATCTTTACTGTTCAGATTATTACAGTTGTTCCTCTTTTTTCCCCCCATAGCTCCCCTCCACCTGGTTCCCACCCCATCCTACGCCCTCACCCCCCCTCCCCCAAACCATCCTCCTGCC